GTCCCTTCCAACCCAAAGCATTCTATGATTCTGTGAATTTAATAAGGATCATGTGAGAAACCTTAGAAGCTGATGGCAAAACTGCCATTAGAGATTATCTTCCAGGGGCAAACCTCTTCAGTAATGAGACACATATCTACCCAAAACATGTGGGGTTTTTTCCCATTACAAAAAAAACAAAAAAAAATTGCCAACATCAGTCACTCTAAGCAATGGAAACTGCTCTGGGACTATAACAGAAATCAGATTGCTGAGGTAACTGCCCTAAACAGTTTACTAAAAGTAAGTTCAGCCATTTTACTGATTAGTTTTTCTTGCAACTACTGTTGTCCCTATTCTCATTTAAAAAAAAAAAAAAAATTAGCTACGTGATTTGAAAACCAAACATTCACTCACCCTCCACCTCCGAGCTCCAGAGAGCTGGTGTCTCCGTTGATGAAGTAGGTGTTCTCTCCACTCCATTTGAATACCTGGAGGGGGGGGGAACCCAAATATATTTGGACCATGAGGATTCTTGTACTCTAAAACTACTGGGGACTGACTCTTAGTGGGTATTTTTTGGTGCAGTCATATTTTATTTTATTTTTTCTTGAAGGGCGAGGAGGAAGAGGTAATAGGTAGAAAGTAAAGGAACAATACATATTTAAAACTATGAACAAGGCACCCTAATCCTTATTAAAATTCTGCTTGCATCTCTAAATCAACAGGCATTCGGTTAAAAAGGAACAATGTGTTCGATATTGAAAAATGCGTAAGCCAGGAACATTAAGGGGTATTTCAGTTTCCTGGGTTTGTTGTCACTGTGATCCTAAGCACATGTGAAATTATACCCTATTCTTGATACCAGTGCCTTCCAAGGTGAGTCTTTGACAGTCCTCCTCTTACTCGTCCCTGCTTCCCCCTTCAATCCACTTAAAACCCTCTCCTCACCCTTACAGACTGTCCTCTCAGCACTGCAGATAATTACAGCCCCTTTTGCTTAAAGCATTACATTGAAGCAATGAGCGATTAACTTCATTCATCAACAGCCGGCACATCTTCTAAACTCAAATATGCTGTCTTCATAAAAATCTCATACATGTTTCAGAAGTGGAACCCAAAAATCTTGAGAAAGTGAACACCCACTTACCTTGAAATTTGGACTGAATGTGTAGAGGAATGTCTCACCAGTGCCATAGTAATGGTCACTAAACCTGAAGGGATGTGTAGCATAGGCTCCAAATATCTGTCAGAATAAAATCATTAAACTACTTTTGAGGACAGTGTAAAATTTTCAAGAGACAAAAGCCCAAACATTTCAAAATACTTTCCAAAGAACAGCTAAGCTGGTGTTTCATATTAGAATAACCAACTAGTGAAGTACATCAGATGAGCAAGTACTCCTGCAAATCTTTTGTATCCTGCAAGTTAAAAGCCAGATGACAAAAATGGCAACAGGAATGCTGACTCTAGGAGCTACTGAAGTACTAGACCCCCACAGAGGCATTATTTGTGACAGCTCATTAACTGAGATACCTAAGGAAGATACTTCCATGGGCACTATTAAAAGGAGCACTCACTGCAATTATGAAGCTGGGGGTGGGTGGTGGGGTGGTATTTCTACTAGTGCTGATGTGTCTTCCTGCCTGTAAGTTTAGTTTAAACAGCAGAAAATATAAAAGAAAACACCAATGTCTTCTTTTGGTATGATGTCACTTTGTAGTATGATTAGTACTTCATATTGATCACTTTTTATAATGTTGCCTTTTCAGTCCAACCCCTGCAGAACAAGCACTCCTTACCTGGTTGTCCATATCCTTGATGACAAGGAGAACTGGACTGTCGAGAGATGCTGATTTACGGTAGAGAGTCTTCAGGCTAGTCCCGTGCTCCAGTGTACTGTATGCAAGCCGCCACGGATATCCCTGCACTCGTGCGGGCAAGCATCGGGCAAGCTGGGAAACGAACAGTGAGAAATGGTTACATATTCAACATGTTGGGTCACAGGTTTCTGCAGGGGCTTCCGAGCCAAAAAATGGCTGTCAAGGGAGCAGCTGATGCCAGCAGCTTAACATCTCTGCCACATGCATGTGGCCTTGTACTCTGAGCCCAACTGCCTGCATTCCCATCACCTGTGAAAGGGATTTCAAAACTGGCAACCCCTCTCCAAGCACCGAAAGAGTTGCCAGTCCTCAATATCACAACTCAAACTCCAGAGTTGTAAGACATAGAAGTAAGCTTTCCAGGTGAGCTAGCGCGGCAGCAAACAGGACCTTACACAAGGACACTCCAACATATTAAGCACTTTCCAAACTCTTAAAAAGCGTTGGCACTGCCTCCAGCAGGCAGAATGTCCCACACTCGGCAGAGACAGCACCACAGCTAACAATGAAACTTAAGGTTTTTCTAGCCATACCTGCTCTATGTGCATATTCTCCAAGAGGGCGCTGTGATGCTTTAAGACAGGCAAAGTATCGTCGTCATCTTCTTCATAGTAACTGCAAACGCTCTTTCGTCGTTTTGCTTCTTCTACAGTAATGATCTGAGGCAAGAGAACAAGTGTCCAACCTGAAGTATAGCTCTTACGCTGTCAATCCTCTGTTGAAGCAATTTAACTTAAAACTACATACTCCTCAGGTGTTACACTCTGCAGAGCAAAACCACTGTATGGGATGGTTGTATCAAGCACAGGCAGCCTTAACCAAATGGGGAAATTTTTAACTGGCAAGGTGTCTTTGAGAGAGTATAGCCAGAATTTCTTCACACCCTGAAGACCTCCAGAGCTGTAGAGTCCTTTGAGATTAATAAACATCAAGGTAACCAGGTGGTCAGTCTTAAGACACACATGGTCCCCAGTCAGAAGGCTAAAGTGCACCTACTTCTTCTGAGGCACACTACACAACATCTGAACTACACGTCTTGTGGAAGTCTAAATGAGGAGGACACAAAAGCTTCTTTGTTTTCTTTCATGCATCCAGTTGAATACATTAATTATTTTCTCAGGTGCTAATGCATGAGAATATGAAAAAGTTTAAAATTACACTTCTTTTTATTAAACAGCAGCTTTTTCCTGGTTTTCTTTACTGGCTCAGACACAGTTTTGTGTATACAAACTGAAACAGAATGAATATAACAAAGAAGAAAAAATGTAAATCAACTTTAACAGGTATTTTGAAGTTTTGTCTTGTAGGAAATGTACCAAGTAAGATTTTGAGCATCCAGTTTGTAAAGTTCTTGAAAATACTCATTCTGAGAGTCAAGGTGTTTATAAAATACATTCTTAGTTGACAATGATCACACAGCTCTTTGGAAACTTCTGTTTATTCTTTTACTTATATAAAAAAGAGCACACTGCAGTATTTTAAAAGGTGAGTCCATATAAATGCTTCTATCATCAGGTTTGACTTTAAATACTTACAAAAACAAACCACAGACTTCTCTCCAGCAACTACCACACTACCTTTTCCCATACAACTGGAAACAAAATGAGAACACAAGTCGATACATTTAATGCTTGTCTATAAAAGGACTCAGCAGCCTACAAGGTGCTGAGAGAAACAGGGGACAAACTCTGAACCTCAGGCAGCATGGGCAGCAAACAGGAACCCAAACGTGGCACAGGGCAGGAGCTCCCAAGCTGGCAGCACCCACAGTGCCCAGAGCTCACCGCAGAGGGCAGGACACCGCCTCGCCCCTCGGCGGCGGCAGTCAGGGTGTTCTGGCTCCTGACCAGCTGCTGCTGGGGTCTCAGCCTCCTAGCTGGCAGAGAACATCATCTGGCACAGCTGGAAAATGTTTCATTGCAGCTCAGGGCACACAGCAAGTGACAGGAGCCTCGGCTCCGCACAGCAGTGGGAGATGAGAAGGGGCACACTGTGCCTGGCAGCGGGGCTTTAGCTGGGGCTTCCTGTTTGCCAGGGTGGCACTGAGCACCAGCAAGAGCTCAGAAATGGGGCTGATGAGAAAGAAAAAGGGAAGCAAGGAGGCCTAACTGCAAAACAAATGGAAAACCTTAAACCGCCTTCCTTCCATAAGCATATCACCACAGAGGTCTTTTCTTGGAGCAGGAACCTCAAGATGTGGCCGCAGGACACACCACTCTGATGCCACACACCTCCCTGCACATACGGCTTCCAAACGACTTTAACGTTACACACAGATAAAAGTTTTGCGTAACTCCTCCGCACCTTCATGATCACTGCTTGGACTTGCAGGAGCTGTCAACAGTCGAGACAATTGCCAAGCAGTGCCTGGAGGTCCTGCACACACCTGCCCCACAGGCGAGAAAACGAATCCACTGGACTGACTCCAGGTGCAGATTTAACCACCACAAAGCACAGAGACGGAGTTTTTCATGAAGACCAGAACTGGTGAGGAGTTCACCACGGGTAGGACAAAGACCCAATACTGTCAGTCACACCTGGCTTCTCCAGTGGGACACGAGCAACACGTGCACTGTACGCACTCACGTCCAGCCCGCATTGACCCTGCGGACACCTGGAGCTAAGCCCCAGGCAGCCGCCCTGAGCAGGGCACCTGGGCACTGATGCTCCAATGTGCACAGCAGGGTTAGGAAAAGACGGGAAAGACCACCACAAGGCAAAATCCAGCCTGCAGAATTAATGTTGTTACGTTCCCCTGCGCACCTGGGCAGTACAGGTACTCCTGCCAGTGATACTGGAAGAGCTGTACAGCTGCATCCCGCCCCTCCAGCCCAGGCTCAGCGGGACCTAGTCCTGGGTCTTCTGAGACTGGAGGGAATCCTGTGCTGGAAAATTTTTTTCATATGGCCAATTTCAGGGAAGGTTTGCACTGCAAAAATTAAGATCAATTTAAAAAAACCCAACAAACTGTTAAAGGAAAATGGTCTTTCTGTTTTTATCCTTGTTCTTTTTCTACCTCCTGAATGGTTTTCCTTCCCTCCTCATCTCCCAGGTCATTATTTTATTTTACTTCTCTCTTTTTTTTTTTAAATGAACACCTTTTTCATCTCATACCAAAAGTACCCAACTCCTTGTTCAAAGACTGTTTTCTAGGAATAGTCTCTCCCCTGGAGAGTGGGGGGACAGTGTCACAGTAAATGAACCAGCAACAGGTATCTGTAGCAAAATGCAACCAAACTCACAGACATAGGCAACCACAGAAAATCTATTAACACAGCTGTAAATTGCAAATTTTCTCTAAAGACAGACAAGGCCCCCTCTTCACTGCATACATACCTATTCCGTCTATAACTGAAGTGCACACTGGAATGTAGTCTGGAGTCAACAATTGGAAAAAACGGGATCTGCAAGATCAGATACTTACAGACCACACAAAAGTGAAGACAAACAAAAAGAATCAACCACTACAGAAACTGGATCTACAAAATCTTTTAAAGATCTTATGGGACTGAGAAAGCAAGCTACCCAGGGTGGAAATATGCTATTAAAATTCATCTGAGTACAGAGCACATTTTTTACTAGGACAGAGGTGCTGTATCAGATCCATGCTGTTCAAACAGGGACACAGTTCAACATACCTCCACAAAAGGTTCTCCCTGGTGAGGTCTGGCATAGTAAAGAATTCGAATATTCAAAGGCATTTCTTTCCCTTTCATCGTCTACCAGTTTATTTTGCAGTATCCACTACACTGCTCTGCTCTAGTGGCAAGAGCTCTCGCCCACAAGCATGACAGACAGCTACTGCCTGTGGCACGCCGTGATAAAATTGCTTATGTGCTTCTCTACACCACCACTTTCTGTTTCCCCAGACGGGAGAGTGAAACTTTCACAGTAATCATGCCCAAATTTGGGCTTTCCACAGAGATTTCCTGGCAGACCTACTTTAACTTTGTAAAGCTTGAATATACTACAAATAAGGGAGACACACCTTTAAGAAGCTGTTTCCAGCTAATTGTTCTCCCAATACGTATTTAAATAAAACAATGAGAGAAAACTCCCAGTGTGGCCAGATCTCTCCCACCTCTGTTCTTTGGATCACTGGCCTTCCTCTTTCATTTTGGTTTTATGAAAACAGCATGCAAACAAAAACGAAACAGTGAAATCTAGTGCAATATATGACTACGTTCAGCTCTGAGCAAAACAAGGAAATGCACACTTTTTTTTTTTTTTCATCTTGCAGTTCACAAAGCACCAACATTAAACTACAAAACTGTAAAAATAAAAGCTATTTGGGATTAGAGGTGATGTTGCTACATTTCAAATGACAAGCCCCACTCTCAAGCTCTGCTGCTTCTGAACAGGACAACATACTTTGAAGATAGCAATGCTCAAAAAAAAGGCGGGGGGGAGCAGTAGAATTTCACTATCATGATATTTCCCACTTACGGATGTATCTGTTTTTTAATTTAACCCACTGCTTGCTGAAGCAAGCACTTCAGCATTCAGAAATACCATTAAAAACGCGTGCAAGCTTATTTCCCCCTTAGAATCTAGGCTTTGTATGCACAAGAGACAGACAGAACAAACGCAGGCATGCCAAGTAGTTAAAACAGATTGCAAAAGCCCCCATACGAAAAAGCCAAAGTCCCAGTCTAATACCAATCCATCTTACAACCAATATTCAAACAAGTATTGCTGTGTGCACCTGAGAAGCAAGCGTATGTATGGCACAACATCACATACCAATCCATTTCAACCAGCACACAGGAGTCTGTTGTTGTTTACATGTACATATACATATACATTTTGGAGGTTTTATTTGTAGCACATAAATACAACACGAATTTAGCAATGCTGACAACATACACCTGTATAGTTCTGCAAAACATCACATAACCAAAATATTTACACAACTGCTGGTTGCACACCACAGAGCTCCTAGTTGTTTGCCTGCTCTTTCTAGGGAGAGAAGAAAGGAGGACTGAAGGAATATGAGTACATTTTGTGAGACAGATACAAACCTTGAGGAGACTTCTATATGAAGCAGCAAGTGTTATAAAGAAACACCATAAAAATCATCAAAACAGCAAGTGCTGAGATTCTTAACAGGGTATGCACACTTGATAGGCACATGCTTCATACCATGGCAGAAAGCACTCACCTCCCAGCTTTTAGTAGTGGGCTCACTGAAGAAGTTGTCTATCATGTCAAGCTCCTCCTTTTCTACCACAACAAAACCTTGCTCTTTGGCATCTTTCCCATATATTTCTGGTGACCACTGAACAAAAAACGTGTATAAGTGATCCACCCTGTAAAGAGAAGAGGGGGAGACAACTGTTGTGCAGTGGTCCATAAACACAGCACTGTCACATAGTACTGAGGTTTTGCCCAACGACAAAGAAGGTACAACCATACAAATAGGATACCTGTGTACTTCCACCCCCATGTACCACAGGAGGCAATAGCTCCTTCCACTTAGCAGCCTGAAGCATTTCAAGGTTTCTCTGCTTTCTGTCCCCACAATATTTTTTTTTTCCTCCCTTTGCTATACACACAGCCAAAGCATCAGGGAAAAACTAAGTGGCTTGTCCAGTCCCGCAGAATTCATATTAAGATGACAAATTGTTTGGTATTAGATCATGCTCACAAAAGTTAAGTCCATAAAAAAACCACTCACTTTAATTATTTAGCTTGACCTCCTGCATAAGGCAAGCCATATTACCAGTAAAGACTACACATTTCTAGCTGCCCTCTAAAAGTTATAGAGACTAACCACAAAACTATTTTTCATTCTGTTAGCATAATGAAAATAAGCAGTTACTGACAGCTTTGCTGATGATATAGTACCAGCAGTGTATGCACTTCTATAAATGTAGTCGGCTCTCAACCACTGTCTTTAAAGAAATGGTTTTTGACAGCATCCATAACAAACAGTGAAACAATTTCTAAAGAAGGAATTTATGTAGTATATTAAAGTTGAAGTGAACACATGCAATTTCAAACAGGAATATGATAGTGGATGTACTGTTCAAGAAGTTGAATTGCTGGGGGGGGGGGGGGG